GCTTCCGCCGTCTTCCTTGGGGTCGCTGCTAGATAGGGCCCGCCTCCGGCGGGCCGTACCGACAGGCCATTGTGGGGAACAGGACTCCGCCTGCCCGGAGCCACGTCAGGATAGATATGGCACAGTGCTCCATCCTGCGGGAATCTCCGTCTATATGGAGCACTGTAGCCACGCCTGTCCCGAATGTGCGAGGCGTCGTTCCTTACTGTAGCCATGCTTTGACTTGTACTCTCGATGGGAGCTTGGCCGCCCTGTAGACGTGAGGTGGCCGCCTGCCCGTTGCCACCCTCTTAGGAGGGCGGCCGCCAGGAGCCGGCCAACCGGAGCGCCGTAGTCTTGGGTTACCCGCCCTCTGGCAGCCGGCCGTTGAGCCAGCCGCCCCCAGAGGGCGGACTTTCGGCTTGGGGCCCAGCTAGGCGGAGCTGGCCCAAAGTCTTGGTAAATCTTGGGCCTCGGGTGAGCCTACCCATGGCCCATTACTCCGACAGTACTCATCGGCACACACGTAGTGGGTGCAACTCCATTCCCGGACGTCTGCGCGCCTGAAACCGGGCAATTGGGAAACTCATGCCCAGCATCCCCCCTCGCTCCTCCGAGTTACCCGAACCATCGTTCTTATCATGTCTGTCCACGTCCATCACTGTCAGAGCCTCAGCAAAGAACTCAGAATCCTCAAACTCAATATCAAGGGTATACACGAGGCCCTTATGAGTCCACTTAACCACATCAGGAATGAACTCAATATCCAGCACACTCACTAGTACCCTGGCCACCCCGTTAGCGGGGTAAAGGCCATATCCACTTTCTCAGTTCTGCCAACTAGAATTCCAAAGCTAGCAGCGACCCGAGCATCCCGAATCAACTTAGGCGGAGCTCCCGAGAATCGCAACTAGACCTGAGTGAGAGGCTTACCCTGTGGCTCGACCTTCTTCCACTCATGGAATACAAGAATCCACTCTGTGCCAGGAACTTTGCAAAGCCCAAAGCTGAGGAGACGCTCCAAATCCTCAGTGGTTGGAAGTCAACATGATAGGTGTTGTCCTCAAGACGAATCAGCTCCCACTGAAAATCACCTGGGGCCAACTTCCTAAGCCACTGTCAAATCTGAGCCTCCGAAACATCACCCTTCGTGACTTTGACCACCCCCGTAGTCGTACTCTGGGCCTCCTCTAGGACCTCCCTCGCACGCGGGGACTCAAAGAACATCAGCTCAGCACAACAATCTCCAAAAATATTGATGGTTGGCATCTGATCTCGCAATATCGGGCATTCACCTGTGTCGTGTGCTGGCTTGAGGCAAGTGTCACATAACTCAGTCACACATTCGGCAATGAAGTGACCCCGCTCACCACAGCGATAACACAACATCTTCTTTTTCTGAGCCCACTTAGACAGTCTCTCACCATCTGCCATGTCCGCGATGCCTGACACACCAGACACCGGCTCAATCACCACCTCCATGGCCTCTCCGGACAGTTCCCGCGCCTGCCCGGAAGTGGTCAACTCCGTGGATGCCGTGGGCTCCGCAATGATCGGCGGAGGGTGCTGACGGTGGTTATGTCTCCCACCGCGACCCCCATGGCGACCTCGGTAACCACCTCTACACCGATGATCAGGGCCAGCTTCCCCCTCGACGAAGCCCCCAGGGGGGCCGAGAAACGGTCGCTCAGTCGTTTCATCGCTCTGCCATGCGTAGCCATGGCCGCCGCCCAAGGACGACGAGCCTCGATGATGCCCTTCGCCATAGGCATTGTAGCCATCGTCACCCCATTGACCCCGAGGAGGTCCATTAGCAGCACGTTGGACTTGTGCTTGCGCACCAGGGCCCTCATCGCGCACTTGCTGCGACGGAGCCGAATTTGTTGGTCCAGCGCGCATATGAGCCGGTCCGGTAGCAACATGGGGAGGTGGAGCACGAGTTTCCATCACCACAGGCTGTGCCTGCTTGTGGTGTGCCCCGGCGGTTGCCACTGGTGTCGGCGGCCGAGGTCCCAAAGAACCCGCCCCTCGTTGAACTTCTATACATACCTACTAGCTTCTACATGCAACATGCTCAGTTTCTACGGGATAATGCCAAAGTTTAGGATGGGAGTAACAATGGCAAGCATGGTGATTGGCATCGGCGGTCACGTAGCATGGTCTAGAAGGGAACAGGTTGTATTACAAATTTAACTCGGAGACAAGTATGAAAAAGACTCCTCGAAAGAGCAATAGAACTAGCAAGAACATAGCACAACATGACACTGTGGGTGTGTTTGGTAGGGTGCATGAGGGCAAAAGTTCTCAATCCGATCCACTTTTATTTGTTTGGCAGGGTGCATGGTCTCACATGGGTTAGGCCCATCTGATGCAAAAAAGGGCCTTCAGCCATGTCCATCTCGTGCACCCTAGAGAGGGTGCATGGAGGTAGCCCTGCTGGCCCCGACTCTCGTCCCCACCCATCAGACCACGTCTAGATATGTTTAAATTTTCAAAAAATATTCATAATTTCGAAAAAAATTGAAGTTTCAAAAAATATTCATAATTTTAAAATGTTTAAATTTTGAAATAGTTCAGAATTAAAAAAATCTTAAATGTTCAGAATTTAAAATTTTGTTTAAATTTTCCAAAAATATTCAAAATTTAGTTTTTTTTTATTTTAAAAAATGTTCAGAATATTAAAAAGAAATAAATTTTCAAAAAATAGAATTGGAAAATTTGTTTGGAATTTCAAACTTTGTTTAAATTTAAAAAATTGATATTTTTTAATATTTTCATAAAAAATCAAACTTTCAAGACATGTTTAAAATTTCAAAAATAATAGAATTCTTGAATTTTTTTAAATGTTTCAAAAATATGTAAAATTGCAAATTTGTATAAATTTTCAATAAAAATTTAGAATTTTAAAATATGTTTAAATTCTTGTTCATGTTTTTCAATTTTTTTCAGCATTCAAAAAAATTATTTGGAAATTGAAATTGTTCAGCATGTCTAAACACATGCAAGCTGCTAAACAAAGTCCCAGCTCAGCATGTCTCAACGCATACACCGCTGCCAAACAACAATAAATGCATGGACTCAGCATGTCTACACTCATCATGTATGAAAGTAGAATAACTAGCCTTGGTCCATACATGATATCAAACACACTCTATGTTGTCAATTCGACGCATTTCATCTTGGAGTGTTGAGCCGCATATTTTATCACTCCGCTACACTTGTAAAGATAGAATGAAAAATTTATGCATTCTGTCGATGTTATCCTAAATGGAGTCGTGTGACTTCAAAAATTGTGATAGAAATAAGAGGTGGCTTTATTTGGTGGTTGCATTATTACGCTAGTGAAGTAAACCGTATCAATGATGCAAACATCATACACTAAGCTTGCATATATTCATCGATGCAACAAAAAACAAACGGCGATCAAATAAATTTCTTGGTACACAACACACAAGTCCAAATGCATGATAACTATATTAGACGTGTTATTTGTAGGGGAAATATTTATACCCGGCGTGCCGGCCGAGTCTTCCGCCGGACACGTGCGGGTCGTTCGATCTACGGGCGATGGAACCGACTCGATTAGCCCCAGCTCCCACAATCAGAACACGTGGCTGTTGGGCGGCCCGCACACCGCCCGTGACCTACGTCCTTATCCCTTTCGCTGCTTATCCCATTCATATCTCACTGCATCTTTCTCCCCATCCCACCCCATAGCCAGGGGCGGTGCTCGTCGCCATGGCCGCCGGCAGCGGGTAATCGTCACCTAATAGGCGTCGTTTGAATCGTGCGTGGATCGCAGGTGCCGTATGCACCCATCTCCATGGCCGCCCACAGCCAGGGGTCGCTCGTTGCCTTGCCCACCAGCATCTGGATGCCTCTATGGTTCGTTATTCGCCATGGCCAAGCTGCAATTGGCCCATTTTTATTGCTACAAGCAGGGGGTTTTGCTGGAACCAAGTATTTGTTTTGCTGGATCCACCCATTTTTATTGCTACAACCCCTTTCTTTTTTTGCTACCATCTCGTTTGATTTTTTTGATGAACATCTTTTGTTTTTTGCTGGAACCTCTTTTGGTTTTTGCTGGAACCTTCTCCTGATTTTGCTACAAATTGAGAGGATGTGGCGTTGTCCCCGCCATTTTTTAGTACATCAAATTTTTGCTGGAATCTCTTTTGATTTTTGCTGGAACTAGCATTCTGAATCTGCTGCATAGGCTATGATGAAGCTAGGATGACGATGAACGATGGGTACCATCTGTCTCTGCATCGGGTCTTTTTGCTGGAACCAGCAATCGTTTCTGCTACAACCAGCCTAAGAAGAGTTGGAACCGACGAGATTATTTTCATTTTTGCTGGAACTATCATTTTTGTTTTGTTAGAACAGTTTTTGAGTTTGCTGGAGCCGGTGTTATTTTTTGCTACAAGGGGCTAATTGTTTTGCTCCAACAGATTACTGGAGTATTTGTTTTGCTTTTGTTGCTGATTTTATTTTTGCTACAATCGGCATGGGGAAAGCTTCAACCTCGAAAAAAAAAGCTTCAACCAGAGAGGATGGGGAAAAGCTTGGACTGGCGTGGAAAAAAGCTTCAGTCCGACGCGCGCGAGTGCGTGATGCCAGCGAGCTGCGGTCGGCGGGGCAGGTTGATGTTGCGACAAGCATGCTATGAAGGAGGCGATTAGTTGCTGCAACGGCAAAGGCATCCGATGTGCTATGAGACAGCCCTCTTCCTGCATGATGGCGGCTGGTTGCACCGACGACGCCCGTTGGATCCGGCGAGGCCGAGTGCTGCGAGGACGGCGAGCCGGCGTGGCTTCAAAGTCAGCGGCAGGGGCGGCCATGGCAGGCTGCGTGAGTGAGGCGGGATGTGCTGGAGATTTTCGTTTTTCTTTTTTTCCGCATGATGTATCAGAGGAGGAAGAAGAAAGGGGGCCAGATCTGACGGTACAGGAAACTGCAATCGAACGGGTACGCGCTGACCGGCCCAATTTTAAGCCGGTGCGCCGGCGCCTATCACTTGCCTATTTGTAGCGTCTGAGATAATCCTCGAGCTCGTCGATGTAATGCTCCTCGCGTCCCTGGTCCACTAGAACCTCCTGCAGCTTCTTGGTGTTGGTCGCCAACACCTTCCCCTGCTCCTCCACCATGACGCGCCGCACCGCCACCGCGACGCCGTCCCTGTCAAACGAACCGTCCTTCACGTCTCTCGCTACCTCCACGCCGATCCCTCTCTCTGCCATCGCCCGCGCGATCAAGGGCTGGTCGACGACGAACGGGAGCATCACCAGCGGGATCCCGAAGGAGAGGCTCTCGATGGTGGAGCCCCAGCCACAGTGCGTCAAGAACGCGCCCGTGGCGCAGTGCGCCAGCGCCTCCACCTGCGGCACCCACCCCGTGCAAACCACCCCGCGGTCCCGCGTCCGCTCCTCGAACCCGGCCGGCAAGAGAAGCTCGTCGCCGTTGGTGGTGCCCGCCGGCTTGCGTAGCGCCCAGAGGAAGCGCACGCCGGCGAGCTCCAGGCCGAGCGCGAGTTCATGGGCGTTCTCTGGCGTCAGCGGCGCCTCGCTTCCCAGCGCAACATAGATGACGGACTTGGAAGGCTGGTCGTCGAGCCATCGCAGGACCTGTGGGCGGGCGACGTCGCCTGAGCTGCTCTGCCGGTGGCCTTCGTCACGGTCGTCGGGCGCCCCCGGTAGAAGGATCCCGGCGGGGACGGCGGGCTTCCGAAAGAGATCGGACAGGAGGCCGAACATCCGGGGCTCCAATTCCTCACAGCTCCGGTGTATGGTGAGGCGGCTGCGCTCCAAGACCTGCCACCAGCGGTCCATGTCCGACACGCCAGATGCATTGGCACGGAAGGCGTCGGTGACCCACTGGGCCTCGTGCCGGAGGAAGAAGGTGGTGGACTGGAAGGGAATCCACCTGGGTGGCTCGGCGAAGTGCTCCGGCTCCGTGCGCGGGTGTGAGGCGTTTGCCCACCGCGGCCCCACGAAGACCAAGAAGGCGGCCTGGAAGATGAGGAACGTGGCGGATGCCACCTTGAGCTGGTCGGCGATGGGCGGGACCCAGTGGTGGCAGAAGTCGTGGACGATCCAGTCGGGCCTTTTTCCGGCGGCGAGGAATGCCGCGAGTGGGTCGGCGAGGCCGTCCATGGCCTTCTTGAGGAGTCCGACCTTGTCGGGCGGCAGGTCAGACGTGGCCTCAGCGCCCTCCGGCAGCCCCTCCACGGCCGGTAGCGGCAGCGGCACGAACCGGAGGCGGGCGGAATGACCGGCCGGCACGGGCGGGAGCCTGGCGAGATTCCGGGGCGTGGACACGAAGGCCACGGTGTGGCCCCTGGCCGCGAGGCGCTTGGAGAGCTCCAGGAACGGGATCATGTGGCCGAACGCCAGCCACGGGAAAACCACCACCTCCAGCCCGCCGGCGCCGGCAGGCGCTGCTCCCATTTCCATCTCCTCGCAATGGGTAGATGGAGGAAAGGAAATAATGGAGCTGTCGGGCTAGCTATACCCAGGACGAAACGTCCAGAGCCACAACTGTTTTGTTTTGGTGAGCACTCAATTCCTAGAGCAGTTCTGCATGTGGCTCTCGTTGGAAAAAGAACGAAAATAGTGGAGTACCAGTAACTGTTTGCCTCTAATGTAGCATCTGCGGGAAGGAAGTGAAAATGAGCCTATGGCGGCAGCACGGCCACCGAGGTCCTCTCAGCATCTCCGGGGGCACGATCGAGATGTGTGTTTATGACAACGGGGACGGCTAGCCATGGCGAACTTGCCGACGGACATAGTGGAGGGCATAGAGGTAGCCAAGCTGGTGCGGTGGTGCCGGTGTTCATCGCCAACACCCTCAGGGATTGGTTGAGTTACCTAAAAAGGCTTTACACCCCGCTTTATAAATAAAGCACCAATCATGAGTACACGACCGAACGATACAACGATGGAGAGGAAGCCTTCAAAGAAAGCAGAAATTAGAAAATAACGGACAACAAACATCGGTCGGGATGACCGTGTCGCCGAAAACAAAAAACAGGAGGACCTAAAGACTACACGACGACAACCACCAACTCCTGGGCTCCCTCGGCAATGCCCTCATGAGGGGGAACGGCGCCACGCGTCGCCATCGCCGCATCCGACAAAACGGAACAAGGTTTTCACCTGGAACACTGACAGGGGATGCAACTGCGACGACGTCCTCAAGAGGAGAACGGCACCCACAGGTGTCGTCGTCGTCGGTGCCGAAGCACAGAGCTTTCACCCAGTTGCATCCACCAACCAAACAGGCACCAAGCCGGTCACCGCGGTGTAGCCAGAAACTCCAGAACCAGAACTGGGCACCTCCTCGGCCGCACCGGAGAAGAAGCCAGAGCCTTCCTATGCTGCATTCCTCGCCGTCCGCACGACCGAGAAACGCAACCACCATCGCTACTCAGTGACCCACCAGAGAGCCCACCGAGTAGCCCGCCATCCGGGGCCGCCGCCCCGGCATCCCTCTCCGAACAACTCCCTGATGCCACAACACGCAGACACCACCACCAGGCCGGGAAGCAACCACCTCCCCGCCAGCCCACAGAGTCCCACCACGCAGCCGGCCGGAGGGGGGCCATAGCTGGGCAGCACCGCCGCCACAGCTGCCCAGCGACAACGCACTAGGCCGTCGAACTGGAGAGAGCCCGGACAAGGCAGGGGACCGCACCCCTGCATCTAGGCCCGCGCCGCTGGCCACCTACCAGCAGCACCTCGGGAGAGCGGTGGCAGCCAGTGCCCCGTCCGATCTGGCGATTCCAGATCACGACAGGGAGCCGCCGGGCACCGACAGCTCTGGACGCCTGGCAGCCTCAGACGCACCAGCCACGGCCATCTCCACGTCTCCACGCTAGCGCTAGCCCCCACCGTAACCAACCACAGGCCGCCATCGAGCCCGCCAACCTCGTCCACGCGCCCGCAGAGAGCCGCGGAGCCCCGGCCACCGTCGGATGCAAACACCACGCCACCACACCCAAGGTCGTCGGCCTACCTCCACCGGCAACCACTGCCACCGAAGCTACAGCGCCAGCCGGCTGTAAGGGCATATTTATCCCTCAGGTGTTTTGGTGATTGATGAAAATGCATTTGCGGACTAATCATGTACCTTGAGTTTCTCAGATACTTCATCTCTAGGCATGAGACGATTCGGTGCCCCTCGGAGACTATTGAAGTCGGCGTTGTTCTACGGTTCTCTTTGGTGGTTTTGAGTCGTAGGAGAGCCATACTATTAAGAGGGGGTCCGCGTCGGAAAGGTTTAGGTGGAATCAACACGTACACTTGTTCCTCCTTTCCCTGCATTTTGGAGCTTCCCTTTGTTATCTTGGTTGTGTGGAAATCTGACGACTACTGTTGTACTTGCGGTAGTACCGCAAGTACACGCGGTAGTACCGCTGTGTGTCACGGTAGTACCGCTCATCTGGAGCGGTAGTACCGCGGCTCCCAGGCCTTGTGCCGCTCTGGTGCGGTAGTAGGGGCGGATGTAATTTTTTACATCCGCGCCCTCCACGGTAGTACCGCTCGTCCAGCGCGGTAGTACCGCGGGGGCCCACGGTAGTACCGCTCCTTAGGAGTCGTAGTACCGTGGCCCTCCTACCTAGTACCGCTATGTCGCGGTAGTAGGCGTGGATGTAATTTTTTACATCCGCGCCCGCACGGTAGTACCGCGCCTCGCGAGCGGTAGTACCGCGTCGGGTTTTTGTACCACCTTAGTTTCAGCGGAAGTAGGCACGGATGTAATTTATTTCATCCGCGCCCTTCCCAGGCCGTGACTTTCCTGCCATGCGGTAGTACCGCAAGTGGGTGCGGTAGTACCGCACGAGCGGTAGTACTGCCCCCTTGTCAGGCTAGTTCCGGCCTATGCTGCTGTCGCGGTAGTACTGTGGTCAGCCACGGTAGTACCGCACAGCCTCGCGGTAGTACCGCTCCCCTGGAGCGGTACCGCTCCCCTGGAGCGGTAGTACCGTGTGTCGCGAGCTGAACATGTGGATAACGGTTGGATTTTTTCCACGACTATTTAAGGGGTGTCTTCTACCTCTAGTTGACCACCTCTTCCACCTCTAAGCTCCATTGTTGCTCCAAGCTCCATTTTCACTCGATCTCTCTCCCTAGCCAATCAAACTTATTGTTTTGCTCGGGATTAGGTGACAAGTGCCCGATCTACACTTCCACCACAGGATATTTGATTCCCCCCACTTATCCCTTGCGGATCTTGTTACTCTTGGGTGTTGAGCACCCTAGATGGTTGAGGTCACCTCGAAGCCATACTCCATTGTGGTGAAGCTTCGCGGGATTATTGGGAGCCTCCAAGTGTTGTGGAGATAGCCCCAATCTTGTTTGTAAAAGTCCGGTTGCCGCCTTCAAGGGCTCCAATAGTGGAATCACGGCATCTCGCATTGTGTGAGGGTGTGAGGAGATTACGGTGGCCCTAGTGGCTTCTTGGGGAGCATTGTGCCTCCACACCGCTCTAACGGAGACGTACTTCCCCTTTAAAGGAAGGAACTTCGGTAACACATCCTCGTCTCCACCGGCTCCACTCTTGGTTATCTTATCCCTTTACTTGTGCAAGCTTACTTGTGCTATATCCATTGCTTGCTTGTGTGCTTATTGTCTTTGCATCATATAGGTTGTCCACGTAGTTGCACATCTAGACAACCTATTTCATTGCAAGGTTTAAATTGTTAAAGAAAAGTCTAAAAATTGTTAGTTGCCTATTCACCCCCCCTCTAGTCAACCATATCGATCCTTTCAATTGGTATCAGAGCCAGGTTTCTTTATTAAGGACTTTGTCGTCCGAAGAGTATGGTTGACGTCAACGACGGTGCGGAGGAACACTCCGGTGTCAATCCCATCTCGTCTTCGGCCGAAGGGGGAACCTCGGTCTCACGGGAGGAATTCAATGTGGCTTTAGACACATTGAAAACCTCCATGACGGCCGAGGTTAAAAGCATGTTTACTGAATTTCTAGGGGGACTTAAACTATCTACCTCACCAATGAAAGTGGGTGATCCCACTAACAAGGTGACGGATGCTAACTCCGATAAGGGGGAAGCTAACAATGAAAAGAGTCCATCTACTAGTGGTAGAAATGGCACCGGCATCTTTGCCCATGTGGAACCCCCGGTGTATAGAGGACCGATCCCCTCTACTCATTTGAATCATGCCGGTCCTCCTCCTAAATATGTGAAAAATGAAGATTATGATTCTTGGGTTTATCGCTTCAAGCGTCATTTAAAACATGTGAATACTAACTTTGGAGAATTATTGAAGAAGGTTTCTATCCTCATGATCCAAGCAACTTCACCCCTCAAGAAGAAGTGGACAATCAATTCAATGAGAGTGCTCTCTTCATCATCCAAGATGCTATCCTTCCCGAAGATCTCCCTCATCTTCAACCTCATGTCATGGCTAAAGAAGCATGGAAGTGTGTCGAGCGTATGTATCGAGGAAGTGCTAGCATTCAACTCTCCAACTATGAAGTGGTGCAAGATGAAGCCGATGAGTTTGCAATGAAAGAGGATGAAGAACCTCGTGAGCTCTTTCGAAGAGTGACCAAACTTGCGGTCGCACTCCGAGATCGTGGGAGCAAGGACACGGATGACAACTGGATCAAGCGCAAGTTCCTCAAGGCCATTATGCCCTACAACAAGGCCATGTCCTTCGTCATCCGCCAAAGACCAGACTTCCACTCCATGACCTCTGGTGAAGTGTTGGATGAGTTTGTTGCAATGAACATCTTGGATAAGACCGCCGACAATGCGGTGCTCCGTTCCCAAAGGGCAAAGAAGCCCAATCTTGCCTTGAAGGCCAAGGTTAGTGTCGAAGAAGAAGAAGAAGAGGAAGATGAGGAGAGCAACCCCGAGGACACGAAGTATGATTATCATGAGCACATGGCTCTTGCCTCAAGACAGTTTTGGAGTAAGAAGACTACAAGACCTAACTTCAACAAGAACAACTCAAGTGGCCTCAAGGGGAAGCAACGAGTTAGAACTTGTTTCAACTGTGGCAATGTCAGCCATTTCGTTGCGGATTGTCCATACGAGAAGCGGGAAGACAATGGTGGCAAGTTTATTCGAAAAGACAAAGCCAAGTCCTTCCCCAACAAGAACAACTTCACCAAGAAGACTCCTTCTCGTGGGTTGGTGGTTCAAGAAGAATACCGTGAGGATGACGATGATGATGAAGATGGTGAAACAATGGCCATGGCATCCGTTGCCATTGTCTCAACTCCTCGGGTGTCTCACTTCGATGCACCTAACGAGAACATCACCGCCAAGTGCCTCATGGCTAAGGCCACCAACAAGGTAACCCCCAACATCAAAACCACCATTATTCCTAACCCTCCTTCAAGGGATGACTTTGATAATGGTAAGGGGTCTAATGAGGAGATCAATGAATTTGAGTCCTTCATGAGTAAGCTCAAGGGCAAATCC